AAATGGGAATTTAAAATGTAAAGGCTTGGTAACCAAGCAAGCTATGTGAATAATCTTTCCGCAATTGTATTTAAAAAAACACTCAATTAATAGTCTATCAGTGAGTTTTTTTTACTTATATTAGTAGAGAATTTTTTTATAAAGGTTCAAAGTTGTCAATTTTATTGATTCTTACTATTTTTGGAGTGTTACAAAAATTTCAAAATAACGTTTAAAAAATCCGCATATATGTTTATTATTTTTGATGGTCAACCATTGTGACCAACCCCATTACATTATCTATCGAACGTTATTCACACTTAAATAACTAATAAGCTTAAATTATTGTATTGTAGATTGCGTTTGTCACGCACAATACCGATACGTCATGCAGAACGTCGATCGCGTCACGCATAACACACGACATGTATAATGTCTCATCTCACTAAGTTGTAAAAATAATGATCAATTATTGTAGCAATAATATGTAATAAAGATATACTAATAAAGGATGATAATAATAATTCCGTATTGTATATACAATAGTACTAAATCGTGGTCCGCTAAATCGAGATTCATTATGTCATAGTAAATTACAGAATTTCTACTAATAGTCCTGATTACTTCTGCTTATATGTAATAGGGTCCGCATTTGTAAATGGAAATATAAGACGTAAATTTAAAAATAAAAAGATAAAAATAAAGACATTTTATTATGCGTAACAAACATCTCGGAATATTCTAAGAAAAAAATTAAGAATATAAATAAACTCTATTTTTTAAAAAGATTCCCATCATCATCATCATCACTTTTTTTAAAAAATATTTTGATATTTTACTACAAAATTAATCGAGTAATTTTTTTTTTCTTGAGCAAAATGAGTGATAATAATTTTAACCTTTTCATCCCTGACCATCTACAAAATAATTCTTTGATTTCTACCTATTCTAATAATAATAATAGTGGTGATAACGCATCTAATATTAACACTTTTGGTGAGAATTTTCAAGCTGCCAACTTAAACAATAGCCCTCTTGAATTTTTATCAATGCCACAATCTCAGTTTTCACTTGAAACACAAACTCGATCTTTACATGGACAACATTTACTTCTTGGAACACAACAAACTCTGACTCTACAACAGCCTCAACCTCCGAGTCTTCAAGCAAGCCATCATCATCAAAATGGACTCGTTATTCCTCAATCATATAATCAAGCACAATTTAATACAAGACTTCTTTATAATTACAACAATGCATTAGGTGGAGATCTTGATTTTGTGATTCTAAACTTAAATGATACCATTAAAAATCTTTCAAGAATTTTGAATGATTATGGTATTTTGACTGGACATCTCAATAATGAAATTCAAAATATAAATGCTCTTAATATAAATGGACTTATTATTCCACCAAACAGTCAAGCAGAATTTAATCCGAACAATCATAATAACACACTAGGTGGGAATTTTGATAACATGGTTCTAAATTTAAATGTTATCAATAAAAATCTTTCAGAATTTTTGAATGATAATCATATTTTAGCTGGATGTCTTGATTATGGTATTCAAAATATCCCAAGGCTTCCTTATAATTATTACAACAACAACAACAGCCACAACATTGCACGTTTTGTTGGAGCAGTTCAAAATTTATACAAGATTAATAAAAATATTTCAGAGATTTTGAATGGTCATTGTGTTTTAAGTGGACATCTTGATAATGGAATTCGAAATATCTCAAGACTTCCTTATAATTATTACAACAATAACCGTAACAATGGGCATATTGACAATATGGTTCTAAGTTTAAATGTTATTAATAAAAGTCTTTCAGAGATTTTGAATAATTGTGGTATTTTGGATGAGCATCTCAATGATGAAATTCAAAATATAAATGCTCTTAACAGAAATCTCTCAAAGATTTTTAATAATTTTAATCAATAAATTATTAATCTATATAATATTTATTATAATCATTTATTTATTTGTGTAAAAACATGACGGGAATATGTTTTAGTAGTATTATATAATCATATAATAGTAAAAATAAATTATAATTTATCAACCTTCACAACGTATATATTTTTGAATTGGCCATAATATGATTATGAAAGGCAAAGCGATCTTGCTGCTATATAGTTACTAAAAATATTGAGATAAATTTGACCATTAGAGGTTTGATGCTAGATTAGTGATTTCAGCCAGCTGATAAATTTTTTTTTTTGAACAATAATAAAAAAATTTTCTATTCATTTCATTCGTTAGGATAAAACTTACCATTCATTTGCCCCCCAAAAATACAATATTCTTAACAGAATAAAAGATAATAATGGCGAGTTAAGAGATATATCATTGAATAATAATTAGTAGTATTAACAATGAACCAAACATTTATTACTCTAATAAATAAACCCAAGTTTTCTATGTATTTGAAAAAAAGGAAATTTTGGGTATTGCAAAAATGGATGCGTTTTGTGTATAGTTAACATTAATGGTATTGATGTTAAGCACTATGGCTTTTATATAATTTTAAATATTTCATGTAAATTTTGGAAAAAACAAATACTGTAAACATTTTAAAATCAAAAAAATTTTTTTTAATTAATAAACGAATAAAAACCTAGGCTATCTAGTGATAAAATTTCATGTATTTTATTAAAAGGATCTTATATTAAATAAAAAA